CTTGGGACCCCTTGGCAACGAGTTTGTTGAGGTCGGACTCCTTCACCAAGGGGCACTTGTTGTCGACCATCTGGATGGTCAAAAATGCGCAGCCCTGGACGCAGTCCACCACGCCCCCGTGCCTTGCGCTGGCGAGGACTTAGAGGGGGAGTGGTGGATGCATCCAAGTGCGTGCACATGTTAACCATCGCCGAACCTTCTCCAGAGGGCTGAGCGCATTCGAGAGGAACGCCGCACCGCGCACACGGTGAAGCTGCAGTACCCCAGGCCACTTGAGGCTCGCGAGCTTCTCGTAGAACGCGCCTCCGATGTAACCGAAGTTCGCGGTGGCGGTCTTCGGGGCCTTCACCACCGCATTACTCATGTCTCTCAGCTCGGTCAGCTGATCGGTGGTGGTCATCTTGGCAAACTTGGCCAGGCTTACGGCCCAGCCGCTCCAGAAAGGATGGTTGCTGACAGCCTCGCTCTCAGCGTAACTCCACGCATCCTGCTCGGATTTCTTCGCGCCGATGGCGAGGGCGTAGTTGCTGTGCATCGTCAGCAGACCCTCCAACTCAGACTGATCTTGCTCCCCTCGCCAATTCAGCGCCTTTTGCCCCAGCGGCACTAAGGAAGGCCATCGCTCCACGACTTCCTCGGCAACGATCGTCCAGGTCAGGCCTTGCTCAAGCGCCTTCCTGAGGCTGGGATGCTTGCCTCCAAGGTCGGAAGGGTCAAGCCTCCCAGTGGGGGGCAAGCTTCTGGTTGGCGCACTCCATCCTTGCGCTTACCCCGCGGAGGAAGCAATTGTTGTGGCTGCTTCCGAACGATACTGCGAAGATACTCTCAAACTCAGGCATCCCCTGCGTCGAAGCAATGCGATTGTTGAAGGCCAGCAGCTCCTCAGTGCGCGCGGTGCCAGGCTTCGCCTGGACGGCGAACGCCCCTTGGTTGGCGCGAGCCAGGCTCCAGCCAGCGCCACAGTGCTTGGCGGCGCTGTTCAAGGCGCTCTGGAAGCATACTCCAATCCCACCACGGTTGTTGGGCTCGACGCCTACGAATCGAGGCAAGATTTGCTGAGGCCAGATCAAGGAACTGTGCTCCGACAGGGTTTCCACAATCTTGTCCCATGTCTTGACTACCTCCTTGTCCTTCTCGTACGCAGCGAACGCTGCATCCACAGTGGGCGCAACTGCGTCCAACGCCGTCTGAAGGGGGCTCGCCATCAACAGGTGCCTGCAGGGGGGTCGCCGTCTGAAGGGGGCTCGCCGTCTGAAGTCGACTGGCGCCTGCAGGTGAACAGGACTCTGAAATGCAGTTCACACCTGCAGCCCAAATGGGCTACGCTGGTTCGGAGAAGGGGGATGTGAGGAGGAGGAGGAGGGATACTTCTGGTAGGGCTTCTGCTGGGCTAAACACTTAGCAGGCTTGCTAAATCCTTGGTAAACCCCTTTGCTAAAGGGTTACCCTGATTAGCTAAGCTGCTTAGCTAAGTACTTAAGCAACTTAGCTAAGACTCTGCTAAACCGTTACAACGGGCCGCCCCTGGATAGCTAAACGCATAGCAAGGCCATAGCACAAGCCGTAAGGGTTTGTGATAACCCTTAGCGAACCTAGCATCAGTAATGCAACGGCCCGTAAGACCACAAGTGATTACATGGCATAGCAATCGGTTGCAGAAGATACACAATACATAGCACAGCATTACCAGGACTTGCCATGCAAATGCTGGTGGATTGGTAACACCTTACATCCCTCTCAAGCGTTAGCAAAGCGCTGACCGCTCCAAGCAGGATGGCCAACCCTGGGCATGGCTCCAGGAAACCCTCCGGCGGCGCCCAGACGACCTCAGGAAGTTGCAGGAGTCTCCAAGTAAGGCTCCGCAGAGGGGTCCAGAATCCAGGGATCCCCAAGTGATACTTGTTGGTGCTGAATCACCTCCGACACATCGGTTTCACATGTCTCCACGATTGGTAGAGACCTCCGAGAGGGAGCAAGAGGCCTCCAAAAGACCAAAAACCTGCCAAAGACTTCCCCGAGATGGCCCCGAAGTCTCCCAGCTGGCAACCAAGACATCCCCAAAATAACCGCAAGACAGTCCCGAAACAACAAGGCTGCCCATCAGCCGCAGGACGGGCCATACCCCCCGAGGGCTCACTGATTGGGAGTCGAGCGCTCTAGCTCCCCCCTGGGGCCCCCCTGTGACTTCTGCGCTGCAGGCCCGCTGACGTTCGCTGACAATGTTCGAAATTCAAGGCTCACGCACTTCCTCCTCATCCTTCTCCCAGCCTCCCTTCTTCTCCTCCTCGTTCTCCTCCCCCCTCCCGCATATCCTCCTCCTCCTCCTCCTCCTCCTCCTCCTCCTCCTCCTCCTCCTCCTCCTCCTCCTCCTCCTCCTGTGTCATTTAGAAACATATATGTTATCCTCACGTTCAAAGAGCAATGTAGAATAACGTGGCCATCCAGCCATCCGAAGCTCATGCCCTCCCTGCCCTTCATCTCCCTCACTCATCGTCCTGGCACTACTCTTCCTGCTCACACCCCCTCTCCCATTCGCCCTTCATCATGTTGCTGATCCCCCATCATCTTCCTCTTCATCCTCCTTCTTCTTGGTATGTCTGATAGCTTCTACACTGATCAGTCGTGCGGCCATTAGCATTCGCATCCTTACGGCTTGCCTTATCATCAAGTCGGGCGTGTCCCCCTACAGGGGGATCTTCGACGAAAACTAATTTTACAAAACAAAAAATATTTAAAAAAAATACTAAAAAAATGTCCCCAGACTATGGATTGACTATTGTTTGTCTATGTTTGGGATATTTCTTATTTTTCGTCGACAATCCCCCTGTAAGGGGACAGGCCCGATTTAGCATTCGCATCCTTACGGCTTGCCTTATGCTCAGTGCTCTCCTGTTCCCCCTCCTCCCCATTTGCCTCCTCCCATTTCCCACCCCAAAGTGGTCAAAAAATACTCCAAAAATGGTCCCCAGACTATTTTTTTACTACTTTTGCAGATCCCTCCTGTAGAGGGACAGGCCCGACTTAACCTCATCATCAGTGCTCTCCTGTTCCCCCTTCCTCCCCATTTGCCCTGCCGCCGGCAGACGCGCTCGGCGGCTCTGGGCAGACGCGCTCGGCGGCTCTGGTGGCCGAGGGGGCGTGCCAGACTCCACCTCGAGAGCTCACTTCACAGTGGAGACCCCTGCCAAGAATTGAGTCGGGCCTGTCCCATTACAGGGGGATCTTCGACGAAAAATGCAAAATACACCAAAAATAGCAGCAGCAGCAGCAGCAACAACAACAACAACAACCAAAAAAAAAGTCTGGGGACTACTTGTTGAGCATTTTTGTTACCAGTTTGGGGTACTTCGGGTTGTTTTAGCTTTCGTCGAAAATCCCCTGTACGGGGGCACGCCCGACTTAGGCCAAGAAACACCCTGCTTGCCTCCAGGGTGCCCTGGGCTTCTTGGGTCTCGACGGCTTTGCAGTGGAGGCGGCCTTCTGTTTCGAATTGATACAGGCCGCGGCGGCGTGGACAGCGAGTCCTGTTCAAAATGAACAGGAACTGCTGTTGGGCATTGTACCCCGTCTTTCCGTACCCGTTTCGTTCGTGCAGACTGTCCCTCCGGGAGGCTCTGCCAGCCCGCCGCCCGGGCTGCGCCCCACCCCGTTCTTGGAGGTCCACGTGGGCCCCCCGGCGCGGCTCCGCGACGGCGTCCAAGCCATCCTCTCGGAACCGATTGGCGCTCCAAGTTGGCCCCTCCTTGACGAACGAACAACACACGCCCATACCCAAAGGGGGGTCGTTGGGAGGAGGACTGGCTATGGGTATGGGTGCGGGTTGTCGGACCCTGGGGAACGCTCCCGTTCGAGCGGGGGCCCCCATCCGACAACACGCACCCATAGCCCTCTCCGACCCGCCCTATGGGTATGGGTGTGTGTTGTTGGCTCGTCACTCCTGGGCCCGCAAGCGGGCCACGTGGGCTCGGCCCGACTTCGAAGATGAGCCGGAATCTTCAAAGGCATTGCAACACCGAGTTGCTGTTTCTCCTGGTTGGCGGTGTCCAGGTGACTCTTACAGCGGATGATCGGGCTCGCCTGCTTCCCTCTTCAGCTGTGATGGTCTGCGCTGTTCTGGATGCGCTCGGGGGTGCTTTGTTGGACGGTTGGGAGCCCAACCTGGAACCCCAAACGGGGCCCCAACCAGCCATGAGCCGCTCAGGCTCAACAAGGCGACGCTCGCGCTGGGGCCGTCTCAAATCCGTCCTGGGCCCTTCTGGCGTCTTCTGGCCCACTTGGGGAGCCCCTGGGCCGTACCTGGGCCATTTTGCTGTGGCGATCGGGCTCTACCTGCGGGGCCGTCTTGGACTTCGCCCGGTCCGCATTCGGCCCATCTCGGGGCCCTGTGCGGCGCGTCCAGCGAGAGAACTCCAGCCAGCGTGCTGACGGAAGGAACGCCAGGCAAGGAACGGATGGGCTCTCCTGACCGCGGCGAGCTTCGGCCACAAGTAGGTTCGCCGACCCAGGTCTAAGGAACGGCCCGACAAAACAGGGCCCCTGCTGAGCCCACAGTGGCCCTGATTTCAGCGTCTTGGCTGTCAAGAGGGCGCGCGGTGAATGCGAAGCGTCCTGAATAATCCGCGCCTTCATGGTCCGGCGCCAGACGCGCAGCATGGCCTTGTGGTGCAGCTCGGGGTCCACTGGATACGCGGAGGCGCCCCAGACCTCGTTCACCGTTTCCCTCGAGTGGTCGTCAAGCTTGGGGAAACTGGAGCCTGTGATGGGGTACTTGCAGACGAGAGCCCTGCGCTTTTCCACCAGCGACCTGAGCGCGGCAGCAACCGTGGGGCGCAGGCCCTGCGAATCCACAGCGCTGGTTCCCAGGCACACCGCCGCCGCGACGGAGGTGACCGCCGACGCATCAGGGAATGCGGCGCGGAGGCATGGCCGCGAGGGAACGGACCTCAGCGTCGCCACAGTGCCCCTGACAGCCTCCAGGTGCCGCGGGTCGTCGTCGGTCATCAGCGCGTCCAAGGTTGCCCACAACTCGCCAGTGCCTAGAGGAAGAAAACACGGCATAAGCATAAACTTTCAACGGTCCGCGCGGATTTCTTGGATCCACTGAAGGGGCCCTGGGACACACAAATAAATACACACAAGAACCGGATTCCCCATATCTTCCTGTATTTTCTGGGTTTTTGTCTTCCCCCCCAGTTCCCATATTTTCTCATATGTTCTGGGGAATCGACGATTAATTGTGTCTATGTGTTTTTTTCCCTCCTGATCCACACTGGACCACGCTCCCTGGCGCGCGGAGCGCGCCCGGGGCGGCGCCGGAAGCGCAGCCAGGCAGCTCCAGCGCAGATCCGAGAACTGCGCGCGGACCGTCGAAAGCTTCCGACTGGTGCCGCCTTGTCTTCCTCGAGTGCCGCCGATCTCCCCGACCGCACGCCCCCATGCGAGCAGCTGCGCTCTGAGCGTGGCCCACTCGCCCGGCTGGGTGAGGGGCAACGATACGGGGGGACTGGCTCTGGGGGGGCACATCGACCTGGGATCGGCGATACATCGCCGACAGATCGGCGATGGGTCCCCGATCAAGAGTCCGCACCTTCCTGGGCAGGTTGGGACTGTCGGGCCCCTATCGGCGATCGATGGGCGATTGGGGGTCGATGCATCCCCCCCTATGCTTAGGTCGGACGTGTCCCCCTACAGGCGGATTTCCGGGGAGAGATTAGAAAATATCCCAAAAAGACAACAGAGAGTCCAAAATTGGCGAAGACTCGTTCCCAGCGTATTTTTTTATTTTGAATACTTCTCCTGTAGAGGGACATGCCCGACCTCACTCGGGAACGGCCAAGAGGGGGGTGTCCAAGAGGGGGGGGTGCAAATCATGACCAGCGGCATGTGCGCGGCCCAGCGGGGGGGCCAGGGACGTAATGGAATAAGAAGAGGCGCCATGAAATCTGGGGAAATATCATGGCCCATGCCATGATATTCACCCCCCCCTAGTCCTCACCCCCCTCTTTGCCGCCCCCGACTGTAGAGGGGCATGCCCGACCTAACCCTGTGCCCATCCCCCCCCATCGTTGCCCCTGGCTGGGGCCCGTTGTCCGAGGCCCCGCGCTTGCCCGACAGGACCGACAGCAGCGCCGCGGCGCCGGCGGGGCGCGGCGCCGCGCGGCCTGGCCACGCGGCCTCCAGTGACTCCAGCTCCTACTCTGGACGCCGGCAAAATGGGCACGGAACTCCTCCTCCTCATCCTCCTCCTCCTCCTCCTCCTCCTCCTGCTCCTCCTCCTCCTCCTCCTCCTCCTCCCCCTCCTCCTCCTCCTCCTCCTCCTCCTCCTCCTCCTCCTCCGCCTCCTCCTCCTCCCCCTCCCGCCTCCTCCCCAGCCGTTCTGGCCCAGGCATTTTGCCTGGGCGTGCAGCCACCGATTTCCTCCAGAACGGCTGGGTGGCCGCGAGCCTCGGGGCCGGGGCAGGCGACAGCACGGCCGCTTCTGCGGCAGGACGCGTGCCATGGCTCCGCCCGTCAGTGGGACGCACAAAGACATACTCATACTATATATCCTCATTGGAGGCGCGCGTCCGACCCGAATATATAGTATGCCCATCTCGTAGTATACCGTTTCCCGAGCGGTGTGGCCAGAAAGCGCCCGCCACGACGCATACACTATCAGATTTCTCGGTGCGCAGGGGCGACGCACGTATAGTATAAAAATGTTGGGGTGACGCCGAGTCAATTCTCGCACTTGCTATTGCAGGTACTGTGTTGTGTGCACGGCAGGACGGGCAGAAGCTCTTCAACAAGCCTGATCGAGATCAATGCTTCTGGTGCCGCAGGCCCAAAAGATCTTGCCTCCATGCGTACAAGGAACTGGCTGAGCCCAGCATGCACGCTCGTGACTCGAAGGGGCGCTCGGCGATGGCTGGTTCCAAGGCCGCAGGAAGCTCTGACACACCATGGGCCGAGTCTACTGAGCTGCGTCAAGCTCAGGCCACCATACTCAAGCTGGAGCGGCAGCTTGCTTCTCCCTCTCTCTCTCTCTCTCTCTCTCTCTATCTCTCTCCCTCTCATCATGACGAAGGTATAGAGGTGGATGAGCCTGATGCCAGCAAGCGTGTCGATGCAGACATCAACTTCGACGAAAGCCGCGCACGTACGCGGGCTGCAGAGCTGGGCAAGCAAATCGACATGGCATCCAAAAGTACTGGGGAGGCTTGGTCGGTGTTGCACAAGACATTGGTTGATCAACGGAGTGTGTTGCAGCATCATAGTACAAGCATAAAGCCAGCTACTGCTCAAAAGTTTGCTATCACACGCCAGATCGAGAACGTTGAGAAGCAGATGCTCAAGTAGCAGAAGTTTGATGAGCAGCGGGAGAATCGTGCCACGCTGTAAGCTGAGCTGGCCAAGACCGAGCAGTCCATCCAGGAAAAGCGCACCAAGCTCGTCGACTTGCGCGCGCAGCATCTTGAGTTGGCAAAACGGTCTATCGTATCACATGCTGGCACAAGAGGGTAACGTTGCGGCTGCGCATGTGCCCATTGCCGCGATCGTTCTCGACGCCAGCAAGGTGAGGGATGTCATGCGCAGTCTTGGCGTTGGTGAGTTGGCCATGTCAAGGGCAGAAGGAGTTGCTCAGGCCTTACCTACCATCATCAATAATGCGCAAGTGCAGGTGCTTGGTACTACGCGCGTGGCAGCTGAGCACCCAGAGGTGGAGCTGGCGGATGACGACGATGCTGCACGTGACGCGGTTGCTCCTCCCACCCGTTTTCCTGCTCCACAGACGCCAGTACCTCAGCCAGCTGGGCCGCGTGTTTCCGAGGTTGACATCGGCGAACTCACACTGACGTTGGAGACCGCGGGGGTACCGCTACCTGAAGGAGAGAAGGACATACGTGGGGCAGCTATCAGATTGCTTCGGGCGCGAGGGGCCGACAGGTTCAACACGTTCCAAGGCGTACTGCGTGCGTTGCGCAGGTCAGATGGATGGTGGCTAGCATGGGCATCATGACGCGCACCCACATTGGTTTTCAAGGTCCCACGGCGGCAACTGAGGGATTCACCATTACGAAGGCGTCGGACAGGACGGCGCCTCCTTCTCCTCCACACGAGTTGTTCGACACGGGCTATGCAAAGCAAAAGTCAGGACGCGCAGGTGGCACACATGCTGCTGGCGACATGCAGGTCAAAGGGCATGCTACTACGGTCAATGCTGACAGTGCTGGTCCTATGTTGAGATACTTGGACAAGGTCCTGTCGGCTGCTGTTTGGGCTCAGGAGTTACGCACCAATGACGCTGACATGTCCTCCCTGGCATCGGCTAGGAGGGAGCGGGACTGTCATGGTCTGCGGGCACCTCACTACGCACTGAGCATGGAAGGTTGTCGGCAGGAGTGGATGTTGTTGCACCCGCGAAGACCACCATCACAGCGCTTCCTGGGATACGGCATCCTATCACACATCCTGGCAGGTGTGTGGCAGCGAAGGTTGCCTGGGGATGCGAAGGTGGTCTGGTCGCGATACCGGTATCCTTTCAGGACAGCGTTGGTTTGAATGACGAGAACCAGGCGCTGCTGCATGCCCTGACGCGCTACACCAGCATGCTCAATGGCATGGGTGCGCCGTGGACTGTTGGCGGTGACTGGAAAATGTCTGTTTCGACCTTTGATAGGCAGGCTTGGCTGGAGCATTTGCGCGGCCTCTTCCTGGCACCCAAGATGGTAGCTTGCATAACCACCAATAGCACGGAGGACAGGCTCTATGAATATGTTGCTGTGTCTGATCAAATTGCAGCCGCCCTGCGTGGACGAGAATGGTAGGCCGTCCTGTGCACAAGCCTGTTCATCTTCCCTTGTCTAACAGCGATGTCCCTGCATGGCTGCGCCTGCCTGTTGAGCCAAAGGCCACGCCTAGGAAGCCGAACTGTGGTTGCCCACGGCCGCCATTGTCATGGGACGACGTGCTGCTGATGATACGCAAGGTGCAAGACGTGTCAGAGCTAGCGCACGCATGGGATCTCACGGTCGCCGCGTTGAAAGGTGAGCTGCTTGGTCGGTTTGACATCGTGGGAAACAGATCACAGGCGTACAACGAACGGGGAGGATATGTACGTACCAAGTATGTGCAGGCGAAATTGACGGCGCTAAAAGGCAGACTTCAGTTGTCTTATGCTGGTCGTGCCTGGGCTGCTGCATCAAAGTGGGCCAAGCATATGATGGATGAAATTGATGAAGGAGCACAGGTCCATGATGGGCTACAAGAATGGCACGATTTTACATATATCCGATCATGCTTCGCCATGGACTGGGCGCACTGTTCACGTCACGCTCGACGGCGACGGTTGGCAGCAGGCACGACGGCACGACCCCGGCAAGAATCGAATGGCCCTCAAGATTAGGAGGATCAAGAGCACACTGAGCCCATGGAGAAGTTGATCGCCTCACCGCAGGAGCACGAAGGCTTTGTCCTCAGGGTTGTGAAGAAGCAGGAGGTGATCGGCATGCTGAATGATGAAGTCACGATTTGTTTCTCGTCTGGCTTGCAGGCGCTTGGCAGGCAGGATTTTGAGGACGTCGCATATCGCATTGCTGAGAAGGCAGATGAGTAGCACGCTGAGCTCGACAGGGCCAGCGAACACCAGTGGGAAGAATTTATGAGCACAGCTGTTCTCATTGGTGCTGGAAAGGCACATCGGCACACAAGGCTGCAGGCGCTGCAAGCTGATATCATGGATACACAGCGTATGCAACCATATCAGATGGCTGATGACGAGATGAATAAATCGAGGAGCGCATGGACATGTCATGACAGATGACATATGCAAGTACCACATGGTCACACATCATGGCCTTCATTGCCTTTTATATCTGTGCACTGCATGCGGGAGGCTATCGATACCTTTTCTCGGAAGCCGACCACGGGGCCGACCAGGATCCTCCCGCGCGCATCTGGACATGCATCTGATATTGGGCTGCAGACAGTGGCCGAATTGCTTCTGCCATGCGAGCGGCAGCTTATGTGGCCAGAAGGCCGGGTCGTTCATGAGATGGTCTGGATCGGCAACCCTGATGGGGGGACTCGGCTCATCACACTGGTCGATAGCCTCGTTCGACTCTGGTCCAGGATACGTCGGCAGGTTTCCAGGGACTGGGTTTCTTGCCATGGCAGTCGCCATGTTTGGAGAAATCGTCGGGGGTTCTCGTCTTCGCTCGCAGCATATGAGCATAACCTACAAGCTGAAGTTGCAAATAGACTAGGAGAACACTCGGCAAGTATTGTGCTAGATATGTGGAAGTGCTTCGAGACGGTGTTCGCCCCAGCTCCAATGGATGAAGCGGTATTTTACGATATCCTCCCAGGCAGTTGTGGATGTTGCTCGAATATCATGGTCAGCCAAGAGTTATCAAGGCATGCGGCTGCTGGAGCTTGCCAACGGATGCCACGCAGGGCACCCTTGCAGGCTGCGCGCATGCCACCACTCTTTTGAATTTGCTGACGCTCCGCGCCAACACCAAGGCACACCAGAGGCACTCGTCAGCGATGCCCAGAACTTTCGTTGATGACAGTGCATTACCATGGACTGGGAGTGTCTCGAGTGAGGCTTCGGAGCTTTCGGATGCGCTGAACGAGTTTACAGATGGTGTTCGGGGACTTGGGCTGATGCTGCAACCTAAGAGAAAGTCTGGGCATGCCCCTGGCTCCAGAGCTGCTTGGAAGTCCTTGGACCAGCGCGCTGGGGCACTGTGGGACGCACAGAGACATACTAATACTATGTGTCCTCCTTGGAGGCGCGCGTCCGACCCGAATATGTAGTATACCCATCTTGTAGTATATCGCTTCCCGAGCGGTGTGGCCAGAAAGCGCACGCCACGACGCATATACTATAAGATTTCTCGGTGCGCGCGTCGCCCCTGGGGGGGCGACGCACATATAGTAGAAGTGTGTTGGGGTGTTGCCGATGCACTGCGTCGCACGGCCAGGTAATGGACGAGGAATCCCGGGCAGGAACGCTCGGGAAGCGAGCCAGTCGACCGTCGCGCGTGGGGAGGAGGAGGAGGAGGAGGAGGAGGAGGAGGAGGAGGAGGAGGAGGAGCAGGAGGAGGAGGAGGAGGAGGAAGAGGAAGAGGAAGAGGAAGAGGAGGAGGAGAATAACGAGGAGGAGGAGGGTGAGGAGGAGGCAGGCGGCCAAGAGAGTCAGCGGGCTG